AGTCTCGCATTCGAATTATTCACTGTTTATTCAAATCTCAAAACACTGTAACTACCATACGAAACAATTCACTATTTACAAACTAGCGTAATAGCTAAATGGATCGCACGGATTTAATCTATCGTCGAAGCTCTACAACAGCTCGCTATTTTCCTCTAGGACAATAGAGCTGACAGCGAAGACGACGGGCGGTTTGGAAAATTCTAGAGCAATATTGCAAGAGCGCAGTTCCTCATTTTGCCGTGATGAAGCTTTTAGCCTTGCGCTAGGCGAAGACAATCAAGCATCTTTCGAGACCAGGAAACGGGGGCGAGATATTGAACAACCGGTGGGTCGCGGGAGAGAAAAGGTACGCGGTAGAACGTTTGGCAGAGGGAAACCTCGAGTGCGTCTTTATCCGTGGTTCATTAGCCCCTCGTATTTGCTGAGAAAACGTCGCACTCTACGAGCTTTGCTACTCCTGCGCGGGGGAAACACTCGCTAATACGTCTGTCGAGTCTTTAAATGGATTACGTGGCTCGTTTAATCGCCCCGGTCTTTAAATTTTATCGCTGCGCGCGGCTGAACTTCTTACACGTTCAGTTTGAAATTGATGCTTGGCTCGTGTTAAACATTGTTTAGTAGAAACCTGTTCCCTTTTGCTGTCACTGGATTCGTATTTTCAGTTATAAATGCAGTAAGGACTTTTGTATTTGAACGACCATGAATATTGCAATATCTGAACGTTTTATTACTTGGACATTGTGTTTCTGGTAATATGTAAATGTTTCCATTGTATGGTCGAAGAAATTTTAATCGTTACTAGTTATGTTGCTATTGTTACTGATTAACTATACCAATTGTAATTTATAATTTATAAGTTTTTCTTTCAGCACGATTGGAATAACGTATTATAAGTAATAGATAAGGACAGTTTGAAGAGTTTCAGATTTACTTGAAGGAATTTTGTACAAGTACAGCAATACATGTACACTTATCAATTTATTTTCTTTTAAATATAATTTATAGTAATTAAATATAGTTTATAGTAATGGTTAATAGTGTTTTATATGACTTTGCTGCATTTTAAAATTTACAAATTCACTACCAGCGTACAGAATAGATGTCATACTGTTTTTAATCCAATGATGGCATTATATTTGAATAAAGATGAACAGCTTTTCAAGAAATATTTCAAAAAATTTAATGAATTTTCAAAATTTGTATCGCTAACGCGTAAATGGCAACTGCTTGAATCATATTGAACATAGGATAAACATATGAAAAACTGAAAGAAAAGAACTTTATATTTACGTTTTTATCTAACTTCACACTAGTTAACGTTATAATATTCTTTATGTTTTAAACACATTTGAACGTACTTTAATATTAGGACAACAAAATTTGTTATTCAAGTTTCTTGTTTCGGTCGTATTTTAGGTCCTTGAAACTAGAAAGCATGGTCTCTTATCACGAAAATAAACGGTTTTATAAATAGAATATAAAAACAACAATAACTAGTACAATATCTCCAAAATCTTAACAGAAATAAACGGTTTTATAAATAGAATACAAAAATAACAATAACTACTGTAATATCTCTAAAATCGTAACAGAAATAAGAGGTTTGATAAGTAGAGTAAAAGAATTGCAATAACTACTGTAATATGTATCTCGCACAGAAAGTTTCCATTTGAATATCTGATATTTGTTATTACAATACAGTAGACTTTCACGTTGTAGGGGTAGATAACTAATAGCAATTTTTTCCTCGCGTTATACAGGAGTCCACTGCACTTACACACCTCCGTCATAACCGCATCTTTCGCACTCGCTGAATATTACAACCCGACCCCCGTGCGGTTCATCCGGTTTCGCGGGGTCGAATGAACGCTCATTTCCAGGATGTCATGCAAAATTCAGGCGGGCTGCTGCGAAGGATAAAGATCGCTCATTCTTCCAGGAGTTACCAAGCCAACTTCCCGGGAATTGCTTTCAGTCGCGGAGGCTTAAAGTTTAAGTCGCCAGCGATTGTCTGGCAAACATTGACTACCGCTCCTCGAAGATTGACTCCGACTCCGAATCTCTCGAAGGAAGTCACTTTTGACTCGTTCCCTCTACTTTTTCATTCACCCTTGCTTCTGTTTGACAGCACTACAGAACTTCGTACTCCGTATAAGGTTAAATTTAATTTTTCTTGGGGTAATTGTACTTTTCTTTGATCCTTAGAAGATCAGAAGGGTTCATTGTACTTATTTTGACATTTACGTTTATTGGAAAGTCTTTTATTAGCCATCAAAATTATTGTTTTATTTCTTTCATTGTCGTTTTATCGGAAAGACAATATTACGTATTAAATGTGAGAAAGTAACTAATGAATTAAATAAAATATGTATATAAATATTTTTGTTCTAACCATTTTTCATGTGTCGAACCATTGAATACTTTTATTTTGTCCTTTAAGGGCTAACTTGTCGACCTTCTTATTTTTTGATTCGGATACAGTATTATCTGTAAGTATATTTATTTATTATATCTGATTAATAAAATTGGAAGAATATATTCATATCTTTGTTGCAATATATTGAGTTGATGTATAAAAAAGTGTCAGTATAAGTGAACAATGAATCTTTGTTTCTGGGAGATTGGTTTCAACTTGTGGTATGTAGTTGTTAATTAAATAATTGGATCTTATTTACGTATCAACTCAATACATATATTAATGAAAAGAATGGATGTAATTTATATGATTGACATAAAGCAATTTTAGTACGTATTGCATGTTACAAATTTTATCAATGAGTAGATGAAAATGATTAAATACATTATTATTTAGTAATTTATTATTGGTTATTACTTTTTATTTATAATAGTTAATATTAAATATGTTTATGCATTATTTGTAAACATTATGAGTAAATAACAAAGATATACTATGCGATACTGTATTTATGTAATTTTTTATTAGCATTTCTAATTGGTAACATTGGAATTGTTCTGTGCAAGTATCCATAATCTTAAATCATATTATAAATTTCTATGCAAGTTTTTTTTTATCGTCACCGTATTTTATAAAACCAGAAATTAAATAGAATTCTATTAACAGCTTTGCATATTTAAAACGGAAATAAAAATTTCATTAAATTTCCTTTAAAAGATACATACATTCTATCATATTTTCTACATTTGCACACGCTGTAATTGTAAAATAATCGCTGTCTACTTGCAGGAAACGTATGAACTGAATTTTAACCGAGCAACCACGAATTTATGACTCGACTTCTACTTTGTTTAACATTATATTCCACTTTATATCGTCATCTATTTATGAACATTTTCATTTTGATTGCAATTGAATTAATAACAAAAATAGAAGATAAAAATGAATGAGACGAGTAATTAACCTGATCTTAGTTTCAAAACTCTTTCAAGTTAGTAAAAACATGCTTGCTTTATTTTAGGTAGCTTAAAGTTTTCCTAAACTACTTGCACAATGACCAATTTCAGCCGGTGAGGCAGCAAGGGCAGCCGAGTATTCCTGCGAGGAAGCGAGCGTTAAAAATTAGATTGAAAATTAAATTGACCGTGGGTGAATAGATTTTCTTCGGGGTAAGGCGTGGCGGCGGTTTCTTTGTTATCGTGTTCTTAATTGAAATTGGCAACTCGTTTAATCCTCCCTCTTCATCTGGTTAAACGCGTTCAGCGATTAAACGCTTCGTATTTAGGGCAAATAACCAAATAAGTTTTTAATTAATAATTACCGTTGTTTGAAACTGTGAATATTTCACGTTTAATTTTTTAATTAATTCATTGAAACCTATAATCGACATATTAATCGAATAATTATAACAGGCTTCATAAAACTTGTCGAATGAAATAAATTTGCCCTTCTCGGTGTTTAAACAGAATTGAAAATTACTTCTGAATTGTTTCTGAATAGTTCAATTTTCAATCCCAGTTCAACCCGAAGTTTCGCGGAATGCACTGTACAATGTTACCAATTAAAGCATAATTTCTATGACTAATGAAACGTTTCAAATTGTCATGATAGAAATATTCAAACATCAAAGCATTTCAAAATATAATATCTTTGACAAACTCACTCGATTATCTAATTAACTTCTTAATAGACAAAATTGACGAAATTGACAAAATTTGAACAAAAATTACAAATTCAACACAACAAATTTATATTATAATTCGTTAATATTTGTTACAGGTAAAAACTTCGAATTTTAATTTGTAATACTACAAAATTAAAAAAAAACTTAATTATGGAATTTTAAAACGAAAAAGACTACTATAAAATGTGAAATCAAACCTTTGCCTCATAATGACGTGTCAGATTCGTGGTTTTAAACAGAATTTAACAAGCATAAATATTACTCAATTCTTTCAACATCCAATTAAATATTACTCTTCTGTTATCGATTATTATAAACTTGACAGCAAATATCATAGACATGCCCAGAATTTTTCTCGTTTTTCAATAAATTATTCATGACAAGATAGCTGTATCGATAACAGTCGAGAAATAAATTTTATGGCAACGGGTTATCTCATTTGCGTCATTAGCGTATATATACGCTGAATTTTTCTGGTTACTATCGTCGGAGCCTATATATTCGCTGAATTTTGTTGGTCATTATCACAAGAGTATTGAATGTGATGTTATATTTTCCGTTAGCTGCAAAATGAAAATGGAGGGTGTTATCGGAAATGAAAGTAGTAATTCTTTTTACTTGTAATTTTTCTACCTAAATAAAAGTAAACAAAAAAATGCTGATAAGGGCCTTCTTTTTCATACTTCCTTACGATGCAAATGGGTTAACGAATATCGAAATTTACACGTGAAAGCTGTGAAAGACACTTAGAACCAAGGAGAAATACACCTGTCCTCGTCGCGGTACAGTAAATCCGATTCTCCTTTTTTTTCTTGAGGAATAAGACAAGAGAGTGGGGAAACTGTATTCGAAGCTGAAAACAAAGTTTCTATTGTGCCTGCATTTGTTCCGACTTACCTGTTTAATCCAACTTTTCCACAGATCTCTGTCCCAGGGGTGATGAAAACCGAGGTACAAGTGTCTGGTCTCGCGATGCTGACTATCCTCTTGTTGCTGAGTTTGATGACACTGCTGAGTGACCCTTGGAAATCCAGTGATACGCAGCACCAGTTTACCTAGCCGTGACGGCGCATAACACACTGCACCCCCGCCGCCGCCCAATTCCATCCACTCCGGCCTCGAGTCCGGACAGGCTGAAATCAAGATGATTGATTCGGGGCTGGAGTTACGAACAGTTTGACTTGTATATTGCGACACTTATGAGTGGTTACTCGCATCATCGTCGGAAAACTCTGATTTTTTACTTCCACGATAAGTACGCTTCACGTATTTCAAGATTCGTTTAAAATTCTCTTAGTTGAATTTCTGTTTTATAACCCGGCTATGTGGTTTCTTTAGAAATTCAGCTCGAAGGCGTTAATTTATTGTTTATTTATTGTGATTTTAAATTTGTGTTTATTGTGCAAGTTCAGTATACTGATAATAACAGAAATGATATTTGATTTTTTGTTTGATTTCGTATCAAGTGAGTAATATTTATTCAATCCAAAATGTGAAGTATTACGGTAAGAAAATTGTAGGTATAGGTATAATTAAATAAAATGATAGTATTATTTCTTTTTTTCCTGGGTTCTAGAATCTACACATTTTTGCTATTAACGTTACTGACATTTGCCTTTCGTAGAAACTATAATCCATGATTGTATGAAGATAGATTATAAGAAATTATAAGAGAAAGTCATCTTCCCAATATTTGTTCTTCCTCTCAATTCCTGAGCAGTGATATTTTGTAATTTAATCAGAAGATGTTTAACAGTAGGTTTACAACGACGCTTAGTATGGAACACCATAATATTTTGGAAAATAAGTAACTTGACGTGTCTGTTACCATGCAAAATACTTCATTAGTAACAGAAAAAAGTGATGTTAATAGTTGGACAGCAATTAAGAATTTGTCGTTGAATGCGAAGCATTATTGTGCTTGGTAGTACGTAAAATTATATTTTTTCGTGGTTTGTCATTGAACACGTATTGTTTTTCACTATTCAAAAACAATTTGCTGCTCATTGATTTTCCTGGAATAGTTATTATTTTTCTATTGGAATACGTGGGTTTCTAATATGGAACACATTCAATATTGGCTGCACATTCTTTGTTAATGTTACATATTATTATATTATACTTTTATTTTAAGGTGACAATTACAAAAATGATGACAATGCAAAAAAACATGTCCAATACATTCTGATGCAGAAAAATATAGTAGTCCCGATGTGTTATTCATATATTCGACGTATAAAAGGAAGAGAAGGAAAAAATTAACATAATATAAGCTGAAAAAAGTAGAAAATTCGTTTATTTATTTAGTTTAATTCCATAAATATTCATTTTTTAGCAACTATTTTTCAGATCACTGTTTTTGACTTTACTTATATTTTTTACGGTGGCTTGAAGGCATTTAAATTCTTGAATTGTTATCGACCCGTGTACGAATATTTATTAATTTCTTTATGTTTTGGTGCAGGTTTCATGGAAAGAAATTTCTCGTCTTGACAAGCTTTTGAAATTAGGTATTCCATGTAAGATGTAGTTACCCTATATGTTATGTCATCATAGCATTACATGTTATGATGCACACACGTTTTTTCATCGGTTAATCATTTACCTCAGTACAGTTTTTGTTAATGTCAAAATGCAGCTACGTTGTTTCAATCTTACATGAACACTACAGCATTCACACTCCGCGAAGGTGTTAACCGTCCATTTTTCGCAATGGCCGTCCATTCGTCGCGCGAACACGATGTATTAAGATTTACAGATCGTCTCGGCGGTAATCCGCATTTCAATTCTTACCGCGCTCGCGGCGCATGTTTATTCCGACGAGGATACCTCTGGGATGTTCCACGATTCTATAATTTCGACGATAGTCGCGCGGCGCGCTCCGCGATGAAATAAATTCCCGCTTTACATCGAATGTTTCCGCGAAAACCGTCCGGGGGAAACTCGATTACGCCGACAAGCACGTTGTCAAACTGCGGGCCTGTTAGCCCAGTGGTTCGCGTAGTCGTCGAACGAACGCAGTCGGATTTAAAACTCGCTCGTTGCCGTGCGAATATCAATGGACAGGTGGTTTTCCAGGTTGAAGATTTTTTTCGAACATTTTTCGCTCCTTTCAACCTTTTGCTGTGTAACGACGAGTGAAATTTTTAATCCCTCGCCTTATGATGTGTTTCATAACTATCACCGATATACAGTGACTCACGAAAGTATTTGAATACTTATCATCAAATACTTTATTAACTATAATAAGTATATTATACAACTCTTACCGAAATATTATGAACATTGTAAGGAGGCATAACTCTCTAGATTATATAGGTAAAGTTCGAAGAAAATAGAAAGATATATACAATAGTTATGAATCATTTCATATAAATATAAAGATTGCTGAAGCCACAAAAGTATTTGAACAGGTCCTTTTCAATCTTTAATATTTGGTAGGTCCACCTTTGACACAAATAACATCTTGTAAGCGATTATGCATACTGTTTACTAACTTTTCTGTAACACTCGGTGATACAGAAATCTATAGTTTCAGTATTTTTTCTTTTAAACTTGACTTGGATGTCCTAACAAATTTGACAAAAAATACTACATTTTGGGTATTACATATATCTTTTCGTATTGTATACATTATGTACAATTTTACACTGTAGGTATCCAATATTCAAACTAAAATACAATTTCTCTTGTCGATAATTATTACGAGCAACGATAGTTGTCAGCAGTGAAATCAAATTTGAGTTACTCATATGATTATCTGTGACTAAAAATATTTCAGTTGAAAATGTAATTATTACCCTATGCATATTTATTATATTAGATATAACAGTTATAGTCTCTACGAATATCAATGAGCAGGAGACATTTGTAGCCCACTATGTTATTAGATAGTCTGACCGAATAGAACCAGGTTGGAGAGAAAAATCCGTAGCACGGTTGATCCCGCAGAATTTACCGTTCGAGAGGTTGGCACTAATTGGTCGACTGATGTTTGCTGCCTTGTAACCCGATTCCCCGGCTCGTAGCCGCGATCTAGGACAATTGCCTCCGACCGAGCTCTCGATACTTTTCCAACCCTGTCTTTGCAGATGCTTGACAGGCATGATGTTGCCTTGATTTTTGTGCTCTTAAAAAGTTTCAGTAATTTTGTGGTATGGACGTGATTAGACAGAATGATTAATCCCTTCCTTTGTAATAACGTATCCGACTCGCGCTGAAGATTTTCAATATGATTTAACAAATATTACTCAGTCCATCCAAATTCAAAGTGAATATTATTCTTCTGTAATCAATTATTATATTTGAAAGGAAATATAGGCATGTCCTATGCCTAGAATTTTTCTCCTTTTCCAATAAATTATTAATAATAATGTAGTATCGATTAGACTCGAGAAAGAAATCATAGATCAAGGGGTTAATACGTTCACGGATGTTAATTCACATAGGGTATTGATATGAGAACTCTTCAAAATGTCAGGTAACAGCCTGAAAAGAAACTATAACCCTTTTCATTCACTTTAATGGAACTCATTTAACAGAGTTTATTAAGAATTGTGTTAAATAAAAGGAAGAAAGAATTTAATGATCTGCAAATATCACCAGTTCAAAGCTTACTAAATAATAAACAGAAAAATAAACAAAGCAAATGACAATGCATTGTTGACTGAAATGTGAGAGATTTATCCATTCAACTGCCTAACTGTTAATTTCGATGTTTGTTAGGCAAATTTTCAATTGTTCTTGACAATGGAAAAACCGGAATCGCATTCTATTACACATGCTGAACGTATATTAAACAGATAATTTCATTTGTAATTTTTTTCATTGTGTTAACTATGAAAATTAAAGGAGGATAATGTATTGCATATGCAATGACGATCCACCAGAAAGAAGTTAAAATACTGCATATGTAATACCCGTCCACGAATGTGTTAAATTTGCTCGCTATTTTGTACGTGATAAAATGACAACAAATTTTTGGTAAATGCTACTTTCAAGGTTGTTTATGTACTTTTATATATTTCTTTACTTTTTCGTTTTTATGTTATTTGTTCATTTTTAGACGAGATTAATTTTCATTTGTACAGGACTTATTATTGTGAAGAGAATTTAACATTGCTTTATACTTTATACATGATTATTTATTTAAACTGAGTATATACATTAGGAAGTGAAACTTCAAAATTGATTGCAATGTTCATAGTTTACAAATAAGAATAAAGTAAGGAATAATATAATTCATTAATTATACTTTTTATTACATTTCCTTGTTTGTTTTTTATATCAGGAAATAGTAATACATGACATCTCGAAGACATTTTCCCCTCTAATATTATTTAAAATAAAAATTCTTCATTTATCGCACCATTCAATGGAATTCACAATGTTCAATACATCTGTATTGAAATTGCAATCATTCCTCTTTTCTTTAACACTAAAACTCCCGGACAGGTTAAATTTTTCCACTTCAGAACTGTTATTTTGCAAGTATTTAAATTATGAAGGCGTATTTGCGAAAGATTTTAATTTGTGCATTTGTACAGATACAAAACTAAGAGACCCTTCGAGTCTCAAGAAACGTATAGTTCCAATTTTTATAAAAAATTAGAAATTAATCACTTTAATGGCTCGGTAGTTTTAGTATTAATATTTGAGAACAGCTATTTGAAAGCGTTAATTCATCTAATGAAGCGATGGTATATGTCTATCCCTTTAACAAAATTAGTTTTATAATTTACTGGTACACTTATTAAGTATTATTGTTTTTGAATAATTTATTGTTTCTCGACTAGTTTCTCGTTTATTCTGAATGTATGTGCGTTATGCATTATCATGCTCGTCGCATCACGCTTCCAAGTCGAAATGACAATATTCGCTCGTGTGAATCGCAAATACACGGTGCAATAAATCCGAGAATGCAGTCTAATTTGAAATGTGCATACTCCACACATATATATTCATTATAATTTTCACCTGCACCATACGACAATATCGTGTTTTACGTGCCACCCTTGTGGGATCCTGTGTTTCGTGTATTCCGCTCGGTAGAAAATTAATAATTGTTTCGATTTGCTTCCACGAAAACAATTACAGGCCGAAGAGCACGTTCATTTTCACGAAATCATTTGGG